ACAGACAGAAAGAGCCCATTTCTGAATCTAGACTGCGAAGACAATTCCATCCATAGCAGGCCCCTACAACTAAGGGAAAATGCCAAGCAAACATATGTCAATTTTGCATTCGCTTTTGTGTGTTCAGTTGGTTCTTAATATTTGCCCTAAAAGAATTAACTACGAGCCAGGAAATCCGCGCACCATCCAAACTAATGAAGTGGCTAGTGCTGAAACGATGAATGCTTTGACAACAACCTCTTTAATTCGCATCCCGATATAAACTAAAAAGCGCATAGAGTTGGAGGTTCGGGAAGACTGCAGAAAGAAACCTGACCCGAGGAAGTTTTGAAGTAATGCAAAATTCGATGACCTGCATCGATCCATAGATAGGGACGACGCAGGAACTGACTAAGGATATTTACCCCATAGGTGATATCAGCTGGAGGAGTGAACATGAGGTGGAGAAGACGGCAAATTGACCGACGGTAAGTAGAAGGATCTGCAGCGAGCACATCAAACCTCAATATCGTTTTCGCTATTCTTGCTCGGAATCACAGTCAAGGATCGAATGATCATACCGAAAATGAAGACCTAACCGAATGGTTCATTTGATGGGGAAAAAACCTCATGCAACAATCAATATACATTCTTGCATGCGGGATCGATCGATATTCTACACTTGATTATCATATGTTTGCTTGTGATTCTAGTTGGTGTCTAACTATTTGTTTTCTTCCCTTTCGAAAGATGAGATTCACATCTCTAGAGTATGAACGACATAATTATGCATATTCCAGGTTTCGTTCTTGATTCCACGGTTGTGCTGACCATATAGAATGAGAGAGCGCTCTTGAATGAGTGCAGATGACACATGTCATTTGGTTTGTTTGTGACATATGATAGGATATTTTTGTATGATTCATTAGCCAATTGGGTTTATGTAAATGTGAGTATACAAGACACGTGTTGGCATGCAAGTGGGGTTGTATAGGGGCCATATGTTGACCTAGATTGTGCCTTGTGGGGGGACGTTTTTTGTTACATATAACACAATTAGGACCATTTTTGAGCAATAAGAAGGGTCCAAAAGGCAGATGGTGACATAATTGATGCTTCCCCACAGTTACAAACAGACCCTAGCGTACTGAAAACTCACAAGAAAATGCCTCATTATTGTGCTGTCTCTATCTCACCCTTATCAAAACTCAGTCCTCCTTTCCCCTTACGCAGCTATTTCTCTTCTATGGTTAAAATGGTACTTCATTTTTTCTCAGTGTTATGCGACTTCCATGCATCATCACTAATATCCCTATATGAGTTCATAATAGGAGCTCTAAGATTCTTATTAGTTTCTGAAGCTCGCAACAAAAGTCGTTGGTGCCTAGTCGTGTTTGACTAATAGGCACAAAATGCGTGCCCTTAATATCCCTATATAAGTTGGTATATATTTTGTGCTTGAGATTGTTGATAATTTGGGAAACTAAATTTAGATTTGATCATACTCTCAACAACAATCCTTCTATTTTGAGTCGAATTTCTGATCTTCATAAAAAAAATATAGGTAACAGAATATGAATATTTTTTGTATAAATTTCTTCTAACAATGCATGTAATTCATTAAAAAAAAAAATCTTTTGTGGGTAAAAGATTGTTGTTGAAGAAAATAGGGGCATGCAGCTCATAAAACGAGTCATTGACAAAAAAAATATATATATATTTAAGTACGAGGCATTGACACTGTTATTTATAGTGAAAATCATTTGTTTGTGCATTAAAGAAATAGCTTACTAGGAATATGTGTTGATGGGTTATTAAGTTATTATTTAGATAGCTCTAGAAGACCACCGTGTCCATCACCTTTGAGTCTGGGCCACCCTAGTCATATAATTTAAGTTTCAATTATGAAGATGTGGCGAAGTAATTGGCAATGTATTCAGCATGGAATTGCTCGTATTAGGAATGGCAATTAAAATCGCAGTCCCGAGTATCTGATATTGTTATACTCCGTGCCAATCAGTGCGGAAAATTATAAACCCAATTCGTTTTTTTTACAAAAAATAATCATATTGATTGATAAAAAATCAAGTATTACCATTAATAAAATTTAGAATATTCAATTTGTTTATGATTTGGTCGGTTCGAGTGGACTATAAGAACCTAACTCAACACAGAAAATACAAACTATTTTGAACCATAAAAAGAAAAAAAAATTATAACTAATTAAGTTTCAAGCAAAAAAATAGAAGCAAAAATCATCAAAATTCATAGAAGTTGTTGTTTAGATCTCGATAAACTACAATTCGCTTAAACTATATGTCTAGTATTTTTCATAAATATTAAACAAAATAAATTAAAGTGGTTATTCATTCTAAACTAATGAATCCATCATATGTTATATTGCTAAAATTGTTCACAGGAAGAAGACTATGTGAACCATTTCCTGTATTAAATCTGAGACTACATTTTCAGTTGAATAGTGCATTAGGTTAGTGAGATTACGAGAAAAAAATATAACAAACTATCCTAACTTCCTCACAAACTGACAAGGATCATGGTGTAGCATCCCCTCTCTTCTACGTTTTTGGATACAAACTCTTACAATAATAGCTGTAACATGGGTTGGGTACGAATTGCGTGACTAGAAGTTGATCCAGTTACCCAAAACCAGCAAACGTTCACCAAAAATAACACACAACCCAAAAGAGATGGATTCCACTAAAGAAAACCCTCGCGCAAACACAAAGCGCGCATAATTTTAATGATAAATGTGAATGAGTCTAGTCAATTTGGTTGAGTGAGCCAGATTACGGTTGATTTTGTTCATTCCTAAATTCCGCAGTCCAAATTTCAATAGTCTCCATTACCTAATTTAATTATAAGCCATAGCCAATTCATAGCAGTTAGACTCTAATCAATCTTGCATATGCCCGTATGTGTTTTCCTTCCCTTTTGACAAACACACGAATTAGCTAAACATATTCCTAATTAGGAGATGAATACATATACTATAATAAGCGACCCTCCATCCTAGTTAATTAATTAAACAATTTGGTGCCAATTTTCTATAAATAATGACTTATATTTTACATCCCAAAGTTCACATAATAGTTGGTGATCATTTCGAGAATTGGCAGATCCTGTGTTCGACCTCAACCGAGATCCGTTATGATATTTTCAAAGGCATATAATGATGATCTTTGTGAAGGGTCCAAAGAGCTCAAATACGCGAACCTCAGGTTTGGACTCACCCTGTCATCACTTAAGCGGTGCGTGGAGAAATTTTTAATAATAAAAAAGACTTATTATTTTTACATAGTCATATCTTGTATGCAATCTACGAAACCTGTTCCCTATATGGCTAGCTTGTTGGCCTAACACTTCATTTATTTTTATATACATATATATAGGGGAAGGCGTTTTCTTACCGTATAGGTTGATTTAGTTTAGTTTATCTTATCTCTGCACCGAAAAGTTGGTAAGCTACGTGGTAATCTTTCCTAATATGTCACTTTAGCTTGTTAGTGCTTCTATCATGTTCTCCTAATCTTCTCTGCAATTCAGTACTTCTTTCCACGTACACACGTTTTGGGTTTGAATGAAATTATTAATCATAATGGGATTGGTTGCTAGAAGGTTCATAAATTTCGTGAAAGAGACTAATGCTATAAAAATTCAAAGGATATTTTCTTGATTTTGGGTATATATGATGGGAATGGATCCATGCATAACTTATATGTGGAGTAATAATGCATAACCCAATCATGATCCATTACATCCGCGTCTTTTTTTCTTTTTTGGAAAGTCTTTAATTTTTTATCCTTTAATTTTTAACGGACGATTTCTCACTCGTTTTAAGTCGGAACCTTTTGCACAGTTAGATCAGATTAAATGTGTTGTTCAAAATTATATCCACTTTGATATATTTTGTAAACAAAAAAATTGAGCCATTTTTTACCAGTATATACCATATGATATTGATTGGTATTAAATAAGAGCATCCATATGGTATGAAAAAGCTTACCATGGTGGTATGAACATACCAAGACTGTAGGATGATTGATTACATGATAGTAAGAGTATACTAACTGTCAATTACGACTTTCAATATTTTGTACCACAAGATAGCACCTCATACCAGGAGTATACAACGAACTCGTTCCATATATGCAAAAAAAAATTGAAATCCAAGTTAAAACGAATAAGATATGAGCCGATTAAAAAATTAAGTAAAAATAAAAATGCATTTAATTTTTCACACTTAGATCTGGGTTTTCTGAGGGAACGAATCAGTTCAGTAACCTTATGGTGAGTAACAATGAGTAACCCGCCCACATCATCATGACATCAGCATCCTCTCTCCTGGAAAGCCTTTAAATTTCCCCTCCTTAATCTTTGATGGGCGATTTCTCACTCGTTTTAAGTCGAAATTTAATTATTTTTTTTTGCACAGTTAGATCAGATTAATTGTGTTCTTCAAAATGATATCCACTTTGATATATTTTTCGAACAAAAAAAATTGAGCCAGTCTATATACCATATGGTATTGACTGGTATTGAAATAAGAGCATACCTATGGTTTGAAAAGCGTACCATGGTGGTATGACACAAACCAAAACTGTAGGATGGTTGAATCATAATAGTAGAGTATATTAATTGTCATTTACGATTTTTAACATTGTATACCATAAGATACCACCACGTACCAGGGTGGTATTGTATGGTATTGTGTGGTGTTTTTTGGTCTTGTAATTTGTTCACCCAGAAATTTGTAGATCCAATAGATCATGATGAACTCGTCCCTGTTGTGCAAACGTTTTCAAAAAACGAATTAAAAACGAAGAAGATACCATATATTATGCAGTTGGTACCGAGAGGCCATAATTTTTTTCTCAAAAAATATTGAAAATTGATCTCATTTTGTAGAGCACGATGAACTCGTTCCATCTGAGCAAAAAAAAAAAAATTTAAAATCCAAGTTAAAACGAAAAAGATATGAGTCAATTAAGAAAGTTAGGGAAAATAAAAATGGTCTTTAATTCTCCATCCTTAAGATCTGGATTTTCTAAATGAAGGGTCCAGATTTGGTTATTGATAGGTGCATAACCATGGGTTATGCATAATCAATGGTCTATCACCAAGTGATCACCATGCCAGACGCCATGTAAGCTCGATCAAGCCACTGCCACCACTGGTTCGCGTCTCCTTCCAGATGAAAAGACGCTAGAGGAACCTTGTAGTCTTCATGTGTTCCCTAAAATCTGAAGAATTGTTCCACACGAGCGAACCAACCGGAGGGATCTTCGGCTCCATTAAACTTTAGAAACTCCAATTGAGCTTGTTTGGGCCAAAAATACTCGGGTTTATCGTCATACCGGTTCGGCCATCCATCCCCTTGAACCCATGCTCTGCCGGTTGGACCTGCTGGTCCGTTTCCCCACCCTCTATTGGGCCTGTTTCTGCTCATCGGGCTTGTTGGCCCGCCACCTGGCCGAGACGGTCCTCCGCCCCAGCCTCCATGCTGCATACTCGGCCCGGCGCACGATCCTCCCAGCTAGCCTGCGTCGCCCGACCCAGCTGGATTGCCCGGACCACGCTCGGGCCCTTGTACGTCCCACTTGCCCGATTCGCCAGATGCAGTCCATCGTCCCGGCCCAGCAGCGGATGCTCCCTCTCCGCCCAGTCCTTGTTGACCCGCGTTCGGCCCACCCGTTGGCTGTGTCGAGCTAGGGTTCCCAACACAAACTTGGTCCTAACCCGTCTTCCCTGGTCCTGGGCCCAATAGCCTGATCCTCCGAGTTGGCATGTACCCCCATTCTGGTCCACCGTGATATGGGAGGGTCCTCCCGCTACGTCGAACCCTGGTCTGGCCATGTACCCCCATTCTGGTCCGACCGTAACACCGCCTGTCCCGCCTTCGGCTCCATTGTTGCCGCCTTGCTCCCCAATCGGCGACGATGTTTCATCCTCGATCTCGACCTCGTCCCGATCGACGACGGGTTTCTTCAGCTTCGCCTCAGCAGTGCGGCGTTCGAGTATCTCCGACGAGTTCTCCATGAGGTCGTCGTTGGTCTTATTCCTCGGGAGAGTCCCTCCCTTCCTCTCGCTGATGAGGGTCGTGAGCATCTCCTTCAAATCGACGTACCTTTCCTCGGCTCGAGCTTGAATTTCGGCCATGGAATTCGATAAACCGTCGATTTTGCGCTCTAACTTTCGATCAACCCCCTTCAACTGCTCGGTAAGTTGGGTGACGCGCCCCTCGAGGGTTTCCGATCGTCCTTCTGTAGCCTGAACTCGGACTAGGGGATCAGTTTCTGTCTCATCGGTGATGGTGGCTCGAGTTTTGCCAATCGCTTGCTCTGGTTGTCAACCCTGTCGGCGTGCGATGTTTATGCTCGTAACCTGGAACCTATTTGTTGAGAAACCAGGCTCTGATACCAATTGTTACATGGATTTCCCGTATTAGAACTTCCACGAAACGTGTCTCTCACGAATCGAACAAAGGAACTCGAGAATGGCTTTAGAACGAAGAGAATGGACTTAGAACGAAGAGAAATATAGAGGATCGAAGACTACTACTAAGATACTTGGGTTCCAATCTTCTCATATCATTAATCGAAAGACAAAGTACATATTTATAGGCATAGAAGCCTCCACCTTATCCTATCCAGAACATGAAACCATTCCTACAAGGAAAAGATAACCAAATCCGAAACATACTAGAAAAACAATCCCAAATCCTACTAAGACAAGTAAACAATAATAATATCCCAAATAATACGAATTAATAACTAATTAATAAAACTACTAAAATAGATAAGCGCAGAAATGCCCAGATTATTACGAATGGCTCGTATCGTAACAAAAGAGCGGAAAGAACTTGCGGGAAGTATGGCCAGACTTATCACATTACTAGCAGAAGACACAAGAGAGGCGAGGCTGACCATCACATTCAACAAGCGAGGAATCCCAAGAGGCAAAAGAAGAAAAGGATCATGAACTAGAGAAGAGAAGTTTTTGTTGGAGTTAGAAGACCGACCAGAGCCACGATCGAAGGAACCGTCGTGGTGGCCACAAAAGACACCACGACCGCGTTGGGTATCAAACAGATTGAGAGGGTGCTCACGATGGCTCGCTTTCAAGTCAGCCTCCAAGGATAAGAGATGGTCAAAGAGATCCTCTCGATTTTCACACGCACAAATGCTAGCAGAAAACTTACGAAAATCATCACCATCACTGATGCAATGGACCAAAGAGATTAAACAAAAGTTATAACATCATGGGCACCTTTCTTTTCATCCGAAAAACAATTGCAAAGGGTCATAACCCTAACAGAAAAATGATTGCATACATACAAAGAAGATAGGCCCAGCCTTCGACCGATGTTGAAGACGCACTAATAAAAGGAAGAACATATTCATAAACTGAAGCAAAGAGAACATTGAGAAGAAGTCAATTTTTCCAAAATCAATGAGTCTATGCAAGGTTACCAACTCCATTTCCATTGATAGTGAGCTTTGTTGTAAGGTAATTTGCAATTGATTATGGGAAAGAAACATGATCAACAATGCATAGCACAATGTTTCGTACTGGACAAAAATAATGAATTCAAATAATGGATGGGGCATGGCTTAGTTAAGAACTCTTATCCATGTTCTCAATCCAGTCTGGTAAAAAAAGCCAAAATGAATAAAGCAATTGACAAGATTGTTGGACGCCTTAATTCCGTTCTCAGTAACCGTAAAATGGTCAGATTTATCATTGGTATGTTTTCCTTTCCAACGATATATATGTATTTGAAAGGGAGAGAGTGTATGCATAAACAAAGAAGACATAAGTGTATATGGTATAACCTCTATAAATTAATATAGTCGGTACCATGAAAATTATTAATTTATAGCAATTATTACTAAATCGATAAATCTTCAAATATTAATTTAAAGAGGTTTTTCTTATGGTGTACGTTAAGCGATTACTTTTCGCATTCTACATATTCATTGTACTAAAATTTAATAGAGGATGAAGGAGATGACTATTCAACACCTTTAGAACCGGTCACGCGAAAGAAAGCACTTAAAACTACATCGACTCTTCAAAAATACTTGATGCAATTAGAGAAGACAACACCGGAGACTTTGAGTGCAGTGAGGAAAGTTCAGCATGAACTTCTATTAGACTTGAACTTCAAGAATAAACAAAGAACTATATATTCATATTTTTCTAGATTATCCTAGTTATATTGTAAATTATAGATGAATTGTATTTTTACCATTATTAATTTATAGAGTTAAAAATACATGTATTTATATAGGTTGGTTCTCAAAAATTATTATCTTATTAAATTTGCTCATTATTTACACGGGCCCAAGTAGAGATCTGAAAAATTATTAAGTTATACTAGATTATTAATTATTGAATATTAATTTAAAGAGGTTATACTGTGTATTGTGTGTTGTATTCATGTTTTGAGTGATCAAACAATAGCCAACATTATAAGGCATTGTTTGTTATGAGTGTATTCTAAACGTGAGTGACACACCAAACATTTCCTTTGTGATTAATCCAAATTCCCACTACACTTCGGCTAATACCAACAAATTTGATTTTAGAGCAAATGTCCTTCTATCCTTTCAAAACCCCTTTTCTTGCCTAAAAAATATCACAGAAACAAACAATCATGATAATAGTTTGAGCAAATACCATGTTTTCGCCTCTTTAAATCAAAGGGTATTGGATTGCCCAAATGGAGATAATTGCAGATCTCTGGATGTCATCCAAGAAGGCAACGAAGATCCGCAAAAAGGGATGATTCCAAGAAACGAGCATGCAATCATATAAAGGAGTACAAGGAGAATGTCAGTTCCTTGAGAATAATTAAGCACGTAGTGAGCAAATCAAGTTTACAGTAATTTATTGATTAAAAAGGCCTAAAAAGCTTGGCACGTCTTGTGGACAGTTTCAAGGTTCTGAGAAGGCGAGCTCCACTAGACATCAACATTTATGGCATCATTTCGACGACTTTATGATGAAGGAAAAAACACTATTAAGGACTTTCATTCACGTATGGCAAAGACAGTCAAAAATATCAAAGTCATTGGTGACATTATGGAAGAAAGAAACATCGTGGAGATAATTCTCAGCATCATATCATCAAAGTTCAAATATATTGTCGTTGTCATAGAAGTAGCCAAGGATTTGGCAATGCTACTAATGAGTGAGTTTTATGGGATCACTTGTACCTCACAAGCAAAGAATGAGTCACTTCACTAAACAACTATCGGAGTAAGTTTTCCAATGAAAAGCCAACACAACGGAAAGTAATCTGCCAAACTAGAGCAAGCGCAGAGAGGGGGAAACTCACAAGGAAGTGGAAGAGGAAGATCCACTTATAGGGAAAACAACAGACGTAATCAACAACAACAAAAAAAATCGGCAACACCAGCTCGAGTTGTATAATTTACAAAATGGTGGGTCATGCGACAGTAGACAGCATATTCAAGTGCACCAAGTGTAGAATTCAAAATCACTCCCATAGAGATTATTGGTTCCAAAACAAGCAAGAAGAAGACGAGTCAAGCAACACAAAAAACGAGGTTCCTTTATTATGCTTTAAAGGGTGAGCAAAACGCACAGCTTCCCTAGATGGTGGATAGTGGTTGCAGTACACATGACTGGAGATTTGGTGTCCTTCATTGACATCAACAACAACTACCACTCTCAAGTCAAATTGGGAGATGGAAAGAAAGTAGGAGTGGCAGGAAAATGCATAGTTGTTTTACGCATATGAGAAGGTAACAAAACTCTCATACGAGACTTATTGTATGTTTCAGAGCTAACTCTCAATCCACTATGTAGGACAAATTATGTTGAAGAATTACAAGCTATTCTTTGATAATAGCTTATGAGATATTATCAACATAACCAACAATTTCACGATGGATAGAGTCTTGATGACTTTTAACAAAATTTTATCTCTTGCGACGTAAAAAAAAACTAGAGAAGTAGTATTAAAAAGTGAAAATCTGGATAACTCATTCTTTGAGTGCATAGATTATGCATATATCTCTATCCAAAACCAAGAAGTTTGACCAGAAGTAGGGTTGTTAATGAACCAAGTTATTCGCGAACGGTTCTCTCTCGAACTCAATAAAAACTCGTTCGATCCAATAAAAGCTCGATTCATTTATTAACGAGCTGAGCTTGAGCTTAACCTTGTTCGGCTCGTGAGGCTCGTGAACTAACTTGATTAGGTGGCTTGTTGAGTTCGACTCATGAACTATCTCATTATGAGCTCATGAGATATCTCAACATTGTAACTAGCGAGCCAACTTGATCACGGCTTATGAGAAAATCGATCTATATCTTATGAATTGGTTTGTTAACGATTCATATATTTATTAAATTGTATATCACACCTCTTGTGATGTTTAATAATTTAAGTATGCGAGCAAATATGTCTCGTATATTGTAACACGTGGGACTTAAATGTAAAGAATAAAAGTTGATAGTGTGGGTAGCAGAAGTACAGGGACTAAGAAGGATATTTGGCAAATGTATATAAATCCTCCCCTGTAACAAACTAACGGTCACCTGAACATTAATAACAACTTTCCCTCTCTATCTCTCTCTCTCTCTCTCTTCCTCTCTGCTCTACTTTCTTCTTCTTCTACCTACTCTACCGCCGAGAGACTCCATTGATCCAGAGCGTGACAAATTGGTATCAGAGCTTCCTCTCGGCCATGGCAACGACAGTACGTCAGCTCGATGATCGTTTGAGTGCCTTTTCTACTCGAACAATTGAAGCAGAATCCGCCTTTCACGATCAGATTACGACGCTGGAGGAGCAAAATCGTGTTCAATCGACTCAGCTGCAGGAGATAATGGCGAGATCTGAAGGTCATTCACAACAATTCGCCGTGATTAACACTCGTTTAGATGGCATGGAAGATCGTTCAGTCGCTCGATTTGCTCAAATGGATCAGAATATCCAGGAGATCATTCGTCGATTGGAGGGGCTTCAAGTTCGTCCGGAGGCCATCGCCGATCAGCAATTAGCGCGCCACGAAGGTCGGGGTATCTTACCTCTGCCAATTCAACGACCAGTAGCCGTTCCACCACCACAGCAGCGAGGCGGTGTCCAGAACATTCCGGTTGCCGATCAGGGGCACGTCTTAGGTCAGCCACGAGGTAATGATCAGATTCAGTTGCCTCGCATTGATTTTCCTCAGTTTAGGGGTGAGAATCCATGGGATTGGATTAGGAAGTGAGAGAAGTTGTTTGACATTTATACGGTTCCTGAGGAGCAGAAGGTACGATTGGCTTCCATCTATTTTGATCGTCGTATATTTGGTTTGAGGGATGGAAGATTGAGCATAGGGACTGTATCTGGGAAGAGTTTGTGCGAGATTTGTGTAGTCGTTTTGGAGATAGCGAATTTGGCAGTATTGTGGAGGAGTTTAATAAGCTTCGCCAAAGAGGTTCGTTGTCTGAGTATCAAGAAAATTTTGAGGAGCTGAAATCACAGATGGTTAGGTATAATCCAGCCTTGGGGGAACAGTATTTCATTTCCAGTTTTGTCAGTGGATTAGAGGAAGAGCTGAGGCCAGTGATTAAGATGTGGCAACCAGTGACTCTAGCTCATGCCTTTCAACTCGCACAACTGGAAGAGACTGCAAATGAAGCTAAGAGAAGGAAATGGCGACTTGGACTGGGCAATGGCATGCGTTCAGTCCCACCTATAGCACAAGGAATCAATCCTACTGCTAGGAAATGGGAAGGGCCTAGTGGTGGTCGTCCTCAGAACTTTGGAAAAGCACAAGCATCTACTAGCAACAAACAGAACTATGCAAAAGGGGCTTGTTACAAATGCGGAGATAAATACTATTTTGGTCATGTGTGTGATATCAAAAATAAAAAACAGCTCAATGTGATGCAGGCAGAGGATGGGGAAGTAGTGGCACCAGAAGATTGGAGTGTTATGGATGAGGAGGATATGGAGGAGGTCTTGAGGGATGATCAGCAGCCAGAACTAGTAGAGGTCTCAATGCAAGCCCTGAGCAGTGGGGGGTTGTCCAATTCATTAATAGTAAAGGGCAAGGTGAAAAAGGAAAGGATATTTGTACTCATCGACACTGGCAGTACACACACATTCTTGAGTGAAAAGAAGGCTATGGAATTGAAGTGTAAGTTGGTTCAGGCAGAATCCCCTTTGAGGGTTAAGCTGGCTGATGGAACCATTCTGTTGAGCAGTATGGTTTGTAGGGATTTTTGCTGGGAAATGCAGAACCATAAATTCACGTATGATATGAGAATTCTGAGTCTAGGAACTAATGATGTGGTTTTGGGTCTGGATTGGTTGAAGACTATTAGTCCAGTCAAGTTTGATTTTATCAACCTACAGTTGTTCTTTGATTGGGAAGGACAGGAGGTGACTTTGAAGGGGGTGCAAGATATGGCTCAGTGCAAGGCTATATCGGGGAAGACTCTTCAGAAGATGATCAAGAAGACCACAGCTACACTGGTGGGACACCTGTTCAGCATTTCTGTGGAGACTGCCAATGCAGACCAGGTCCCTGAGTTCTTGGCACCTATAGTAAATGAATTCAGTGATGTGTTTGGGAAGCCTAAATCCCTACCACCCCCCAGACCTTGTGACCACACCATTCCCTTGCTTCCCAATGCTCAACCAGTAAACCTTAGACCCTACAGATATTCCATACCCCAGAAGAATGAAATGGATCGATTGGTCAAAGAAATGAAGGATTCTCAGTATATACAGGACAGTAGAAGTCCTTATGCATCTCCTGTGCTGCTGGTGCTCAAGAAGGATGGATCGTGGAGGTTCTGTGTGGACTATAGGCAACTCAACTCGCTCACTATTAAAGACAAGTTCCCAATTCCAGTCATTGATGATCTATTGGATGAGTTAAGGGGGTCCAAATTTTTCACTAAATTGGATTTGCTGGCAGGATATCACCAGATAAGAATGGACCCTCAAGACCAACACAAGACAGCATTTAGAACCCATCAGGGTCACTATGAATTCAGGGTGATGCCCTTTGGCCTCACCAATGCTCCAGCAACCTTTCAAGCTCTCATGAATCAGATTTTTGCTCCCCATTTACGCAAATTCATCCTGGTCTTTTTTGATGATATTTTGGTTTATAGTCCTGATCAGGATAGCCACAAGGAACATCTGGCTATTACACTAGGCATTCTCAGAGCTCATACCTTGTATGCTAAGCCATCCAAATGTTCCTTTGGCCAGACTCAGGTTGACTATCTTGGTCACATTATCAATCAGGATGGAGTTTCAACTGATCCTGGCAAAGTGGAAGCTATGGTAGCTTGGCCTGTCCCTAAGAATATTAAACAACTCAGGGGGTTCTTGGGGCTGACTGGATATTACAGGAAATTTGTGAAGAATTATAGCATTTTGGCTAAGCCATTGACTGACCTGCTCAAGAAGGATAGTTTCAGGTGGTCTGCAGCAGCTCAGGGGGCTTTTGAAGTGTTGAAAGCAGCTATGGTACAGGCTCCAGTGCTAGCTCTGCCAGATTTCAGTTAGCCTTTTGTGCTGGAAACGGATGCTAGTGATATAGGAGTGGGAGCTGTGCTATCTCAGGGTGGTAAGCCACTGGCTTATCATAGCCAAGCTCTGGGACCTAGAAAGCAAGGCCTTTCTACTTATGAGAAGGAGTACCATGCAGTTTTGATTGCTGTAACAAAATGGAGACATTACTTGGAAGGGCGCAGGTTTGTCATTATAACAGACCATGAAAGCTTAAAGCACTTGCTTGGTCAAAAGATTCACACCCAGATACAGAAAAAAGGCCTAGTCAAGTTGTTGGGACTGGACTTTGAGATTCAGTATAGGCAGGGTAGATTCAATAAAGTGGCTGATGCTTTATCTAGACACCCTAACTTTACTGATCAAGGATCCTGCCAAGCCATTTCAGCCACTCTACCTGCCTGGCTTGCTGAGATTGAAAACACTTATGAAGGGGATTCTGGAGTACACGAACTAATGATGCAGGCATCTATCCCTATGGTTGGTCCTCAACTTTATTCAGTCAAACAAGGCCTGTTATACCATAAGGCTGCTTTGTATGTGGGAGAAGGGGGCACTATGAGGAAGCAGCTAATGCAGTTGTTCCATGACTCACCTGTTGGGGGACATTCAGGGTTACAAGCCAACTATCAGAGGTTGAAGAGGTATTTTTGGTGGCCTTGAATCTAGAAAGACTTGAAGGAGTATGTGCAAGCCTGTGACATATGTCAGAGGTGTAAAACTGAGAATGTACCTTACCCTGGTTTGCTGCAACCTCTGCCTATTCCAGATCAGGCTTGGAAACACATTTCCATGGATTTCATAGAGGGTCTGCCTAAATCACAAGGTAAAGAGGTGGTGTTTGTGGTGGTTGATAGGTTCTCCAAATATAGCCACTTCTTCAGTTTGGCTAAACCTTATACTGCAGTCTCAGTGGCACAAGTCTTCTTTGATGGCATTTTCAAATTACATGGGTTACCACAGACCATTGTGTCTGATAGAGATTCATTGTTTACCAGCACTTTTTGGTCAACCTTATTCCAGCTTCAAGGGGTCAAGTTGCACTATTCTACTGCCTATCACCCTCAGTCAGATGGTCAAACTGAGAGGGGGAATCGTTGCTTGGAGGAATACTTGAGGGATATGGTTCATCATCACCCTCAGCAGTGGGCTGGTTGGTTGACCTTGACTGAGTGGTGGTACAACACGAATTACCATTCCAGTCTGCAGGGTACACCTTTTGAAGCCTTGTATGGCTATGCCCCTTCACAGTTTTCCCTCACCAATCCACTTTCTACTGATGTGGCAGCTGTATCAGACAGACTTCAGCAACAGCATAGGCTCATTGGTGTATTGAGAGCAAATCTGGCCAAAGCCCAGAACCGCCAGAAGCAAATGGCTGATGTCCATAGAACTGAACGTTCATTTCAAGAAGGGGAGAGGGTGTATTTGAAGCTCAGACCATACAGACAGTCATCAGTGGCAACCAGGTTAAATCAGAAGTTATCACCCAAATTTTATGGACCTTTTGAGATAGAAAGAAGGGTTGGAAGTGTGGCATATCGACTGAAGCTGCCACAGGGGTCTGCTATACATCCAGTGTTCCATGTCTTCCTGGTGAAGCGAGCTCGTGGTCATCAGTATAGCACACAGCCTGCTTTGCCTGAGGTGGATGACAATGGTGGACTGAAGGTGGAACCAGCTGTGATTCTGGCCAGAAGAGTTGTAGCTAGAAGAAATGAAGCAGCTACACAGATATTGGTGCAGTGGACGCATCAAGAGGAAGAGGATGCTACTTGGGAATTCCTGGAGGAGATCAAGCACAAATTTCCAGAATTCCAGACTTGAGGCCAAGTCAGTTCTGAAGGAGGAGGGAGTTGTAACACGTGGGACTTAAATGTAAAGAATAAAAGTTGATAGTGTGGGTAGCAGAAGTACAGGGACTAAGAAGGATATTTGGCAAGTGTATATAAATCCTCCCCTGTAACAAACTAACGGTCACCTGAACATTAATAACAACTTTCCCTCTCTCTCTCTCTCTCTCTCTCTCTCTCTCTCTCTCTCTCTCTCTCTTCCTCTCTGCTCTACTTTCTTCTTCTTCTTCTACCTACTCTACCGCCGAGAGACTCCATTGATCCAGAGCGTGACATATATGACATGAAAATCAGTATATGACATATAAATATTAGGGTATTTAATTCATAAATTATCTTAGGTTGAGATCGAGACGAAATTTTGATCTTAATGATGAGCAGATATTCAATAAATGAGTTGGGTTATGTTTGGTTCGACTCAACTCATTCATAAACGAGTCGAGTTTGAGTTCAGCTCGTTTATAAACGAACCAAACTAAACAAGGCAAATCTTGGTTCGGCTTGACTCATTAACCAGCCTAAGTAGAAATATGATAATATCATCTTTACCGGTTATGATTAAATAACCGGGTACCGTAAGCAGCATACCCCAAAACTTCAGGTAGGATTGGGGAAGATATTCATTCCCTTTAAGGCTTAAACCCTAACGTTATGTTTCTCATTGGCGAGATAGTTCCCACAATCCCAAATATACAGAGTTGCTTCCCCGCCGTCTCCTCCACCATCGACGACCAAGTATTTCAGCCGCTGCTTCATTCACGGTTTCAAGTTTCCGTTCGCCGTCTCAAATCTTCCCGGGTCAGCTTGGGGAAAGAAAATGGTGGAGGAAACACAGGTTCGAGACTTCGGGAACCGAATGAACAAGCGGAAATCAGGGCACAAAAAGGGCGGCAACAAAGCGAGGAAGAAGCAGAAACAGTTCCCCGGAATGGGAGAGCGAGTGAAAATCGACCCGAGGGTGAAGAAATTCCTTCGCAAGAAGGCTCGCGACTACAATTCCGACGATGAAGACACAGAAGAGGGATTAGCTAAGGGAGTTGAAGATGATAATCTGTTACCCGAGTATGTCATTGCAGAGGACGTAGGTGGTGAAGAAGCAGAGGAGCTTGGGAATGAAGAAGACTCTGACGAAGAAGGAGAAGGTACTCTGCCTGGAATCACGAAGCTCGGTGAAGGATCCAGAGCTTTCAGGAATGCTTTCAAGAGTGTAATCAAGAAGGGTGCTTCTGAAGATCCACTGGTGAAGCTTTAATCTTGTCTAGCTGTTTGATAAGTTTTTTGTTTCATAGTTTGTGGAGTGAAATTTTGGTGGGTTTCTTGTGGCAGGGACCTGTGTTATCAGGACACAAGAAGCTAGTGGCAGAGAAGCTTGCTGAGGAAGAAGTAGAAAGGAAGGCTAAAGGAGATGCCAAGAAGGAGAAGAAATTGGTAAGTTGATGTTTGAATTCCATTTCCGTTCTCATTCTATGAATTGCTTGGTTAATGTTGTTTCTGGTACATTTCTCCCTAGGTTGCTGAGAAGGGGCATGTGAAGCCTGCTAATTTCTTGGATACACATGAAAGGTTTCTGATTAGTGTGGCTACAAAAGGAGGTAGTTATTCTAGTTTTAGGCCTAGATTTTTCCAGCATTGTGTGCTCTTACATCCGATCTTTCACTGAAGTACTAAATCTGTTAACCTTTTTTCTGTGCATGATTCGCTTTGTTGATGCCAGTGGTGAAGTTGTTCAATGCGGTAGGTTGGTTTGATAGAGAATTTCAATGATGGCATTTTCCTTGCTGGCTGAACAATTGATTGATATATGTATTTGTTTTGGTGTTGTAGGTTAACAAGGCACAAGTTGCACAGAAGGGATTGAATCCCTTGAGATCTAAAGACGCTAAAGGTATAATCACTAACTAAATCACCACAATTGAAATCTAGAATTGAAATCTTTGCATAAGTTGTCTCATTTACTGGGATACTTATTTCATTTCATTGTCTTGTTGCCCCTGCGCTAATTGCTCATTTGTTTATGCTTCCGAGTTCCGATGATATATACTTGTTTATCTGTTCTGAAAACCTGCATTTTGCTGTTCTGAATCTTGCTAGTTATAAACAAGCGAAAGAAAGATGCTTTCTATGGCGAGTTACGCAGGGCTCCATCAGCCAGTTCGACTGTTAAGGTTGGTTGCTTTTACTAAATGCATGTCACGGTAGAAATATTCACAGTCTGAAGCTGTCTTGCTTGTTTCCACATTGTATTTACCACTTCGGCCTCAAATCTGCAATTTTGTGTTGTTTCACACTCCATTGCTGTTAATCATGTAGGTAAATACATCAGAAGGAGATGCAGAAGGAGGAACCCCATCGTGGGCTCCCTTGCGTGACAACTATATGTTAACGAATCCCAAGATGAAAGACTGGGATAAGAAGCTGGTATGTTAACTGCCTCACAAGCATAAACATAAACATTTTTACTTAGGTGCTCCTGTTGATCATCTTTTCCTTATGCATGCAGGATTCTGGTGTAGAAGATGACATTGGAGGAATGTCTGACGACAGTAGTTCAGATGAAGATTGATTTAATACTTTCAAACAAGATCAATGCTTTCTTATGTTTATCCCCCACAATTTTGTCTCCAAGAATGCTAGACACATGGTGTTGGAATGATATGGTCATGTTCTTTGCAATATAATTGGTTAACTTAGCAGCTCTAGACAAAAGGTGTGCCTTCTGTTCTTTAAGGCTGCGCCCTTCAGTTCTTTGTAGCCAGTAAGTACTAGTACAGCCTACGAAAGAGGATCCGCGGTGGCTTCCTGCCTTCGTATAGGTTCTCCTACATCATATCAGTTCCATGTCCGACGAAAGAGCATCCACGGTGGCTTCCTGTCTTTGTATAGGTTCTCCACTTCTCTATATCATTTAGCAAGTAAGCTCATAAGCAGGCTGTTAATAAAGCGAGGCTCTCTCATCTGATGACCCTGAACAAGGAGCTGCGCTCGATGTGCAATCAGCTACAAAAGAAAATTTTGCGGTCTAATTCGACGTCTTACTTTTAACATGGGAGTTGCTATGAGTCCAATTCGGGAAAAGCGCCAACTGTATGGAGCCTAATCAACCAGTTATTAGCTTGAAGGTATACCATAGTTGCAGCATCTGACAGACTTGATCAAACAGAAGATCAGTCCGGTATCTTCGAAACATTATCTCCAAAGCAATGGCTCCATAATCAACAGAAACAGTAATTCACTAGCACAAAACGCTTCAGAAACAACCATATCTCATCGTTACAGAGAAAGCTCTTCAGAGGGAATACATAGTTGAAGTCAATTCTACCTAGAGGCTATATATGTACAAACCTGTAGAAAGACAGTTTTAACCAACCCCTCCGGAACACTGAGGGGCAGCTATCGATATCGTCACCAGTCACCACAGCTCTCTGAATAATAAAGATACATAGAATCTTCATCTTGCTATACATACCATCAAAATTATAACTTAAGCTGAGGACTTAAGTCAGAGAGATCATTTCTCTAGCCTGTGAGATCAGCCGCTCTTTCTCGCAAAGCGACTGCCGGCGAATCCAAGAATACCAAAACATCGTCAGACGTCTACACCAACATTCATCATCATTTTTTATACACTGCAAATGAAGTACTCTCTCCATTGTTCCAGGAATTTTGTCAGTCAGACAATGGCTTCGGGAATGGAGGGGAACTCAATTTCGTCGTCCTGAGTACTATAAATCCCGCGATCCATTTCCTCGTCCTATGACATTACTTTCTCCCTTCCTCTTCAAACCCTCAGAGTCAGTTACATATTGTCACTGCAAGGAAAAGTAGAGATATTCAGCCAGTGTCTAATGAAAAGACAAGGATTGAATTTCTCCACATCAGAACAATCTGATCTTTCCTTCTCTGGAAGGGGAATTTGGTTTTAAAAAAAATTGTACTCTCAGTAGCTTCTGGTTTCCGTCAAAGGATCATAATCATATGCTTCACCGGCTTTCACGAATCGGCCCTTCACACGCTTCCGTACATCGGCTCTTTCTTTGCGGGATGCATACCTTACTCTCTTTTCAAACCTGCAGCATTAACAAGCACACGGTCAGTTATGAAGAACTTGTCTGAATGATTGCAATAACCTGTGTACACGTCAACAGAAAGAGCTAACATGTTGGCCATATTTTTACGTCAGCATGAAAACTTACTTGCGTGTCTTCTTCTTTTCCTTGTACCGCATCACAGCATTAGTTCGGTTCGCTGATGGGGAACCTTCAGCACCAGGGGGCCCCCATGGAGACTCTCCCATGAGCAGCATTGGAGAAGCTCCACAATCTTGATAATCAGCAGCGGCACTACTTTCCCCAGTAATGCCGGAGAACGAGAGATTTGAATGACCTTGCCTTGGTGTGACACAGATAACTGGTTCAGTTTTAGTGCTCATAATGGAATCAGCAGATGCTGCATTGCTGCATGTAGGATGCTGCATTGCATTCACACGTCCAACTGATGACACCTGAAGAAGGAAAGAATCAAGACTTTAACCCAAGATAGTGTCATTGCTCCCAAAAGCCCTCTCACCCATTATAACCTAACCAGCTAACCCATAAACTCATTACCACCACTATGCTTAGATCTGCCTTTTAGACAACCATCACAGAACAACAGGGAACAAGGAAGACAGATTTGTTATGCCGAGAAGTTCCGTAAATACAGAAGGGGGGGGGGGGGGGGGGGGGGGGGGTTAGAGCATTACCTCAGCCGCAGCAGCACCCTGGCAGTAGGATTCAGCACCAGACATGTCCTTTGTCCCAAACAAACTACCAATCCCACCACCCTCAAAGGCTTCCTCAGGATTGTTGGCGCCAACACCAAAGAGCTCATCGTAGTTTTCAAGATTCAAATCCATCTCATCCATATTGAAGTCATCATAAAGACCATCATCTTCACAGAATGTAGCGCCTTTACTTCCAGGAAAGCCTAACTGCATTTTTTTTTACAGCATGAAGTTTAGTGATGCAGCAAATCAAGTGGTGCAAAACAAATATTGACCATATCACTGAACAGAGAATACAAAGAAATAAGATATAGGTCAAATTTTTAATCACAACAGTAGTAATACATGTAAGAACAAATACTGACATGTCTATTACTAGAATAATAAATTGCAAGTGAAACTACAGCAAAAGTTCTGCAGTCACTGCTTTGTAGCTGCACACCCCCAAGGGGTTGAACATTGCCAAGGTAGTACTATAAAGCTGAAATTTTGAATAAACTAATTTGTTCGAGTATCTCCATCGACAAATCAGATGCAAGAACCAGGAATATACATGTAAGAAACTCAGGAAACAGGCTCTAAAAGACATTGTGTACAATTAAACATCCAGGACTCGACAGCTCATTTGATTAGCTTTCTAGCTAATCCAGGACATGAGTATGAATATGGGATGTGGCCTGAAGAAATGGAGCAAAAACTATGAAGGTAGCTAAAAGGACCATTTTTATACAAAACATTACAAGCTACATTGTTAATTCATCAATGGAGATTATGCAAGTACCATATACCTTTGGCAATGTTGAACTACCCGATTCAGTAGGCTGATGACCTTGTCTCTCTGGATTGGCAGCCGACCCAGTCATCGGTCGAGATCCATCCCAATCACTTGACTTTCCAACTTCACGTGAATCACTCATCTCAAGAATACTCTCCAAGTTTTGACGGTCGGCCTCTAATGCCTCTTCATTAGACGATGGCCAGGCCTCCGTGGCGACATTCTCAGCTATGCTCATTAATCCCATGCCCTGCTCATAAGTAGATTCACTGGTAGAAGGGAAGTCCAAAACAAAGGACCATATCGAGGAGAGCTCGGAAGCAGAAGGGCAACCGGAATAACAATTGATAGTTTGCCTCTTGTGTGCTGAAGCTGATGTCGAGGTGCCATGACCCATCCAATCGCAGTTCTGGCAAAGCGAGACCTTTTCCTCTGCACATCTAACTAGTGCGGGTTGTGAACTGCACCTCTCACACAAGAGTGTTCTGGAATGGCGTTTCGATAGAGCATTGGCGGCGTGAACATTTCTGTCACATGATAGACACAAGCAAGCCGCATCTGAGCGACAATATACCATCGACCTCTGCTCACAACAGAAATCACAAAGGTAACCCATCTTTCCAATCTTCAAACCGTGTCTTAATGAGAGGTACACCGGCTTCTTCAGAGAAAACCCACTCTTGAAAACCCTACAAACAGTAAACAAAGGCAGCAAGTTCAGTAAAACTAATTCAGCTACAAAAGAAGAAAAGAACAAAGAGGCCTTCACGAACACAAACAAGAAGTTCAATGGGAGGTGATGCAGACTGACAGCTCAACTGGGCCAGCTCAACTTTTATCCTCAGTAAAACCCCCCCTCCAATAATGAACACATAAAATAAAATCTAAAGATAAGATATTGAAGAAAATATCCTTTCAAGTTCCACATCAAGACCACTACCAAGAAGACAAGTCAGCCAAGTAGAAACTAGTACTGTTACAATTTCCCCAGTCGAACAAAGGAGCATCCTTTCTCAGTTTTCCATCAAAATCAACAGCTCCGCCAAAAGGGGGGGAAAAATACTTCAAAAGGAAGGAGGAACCAAGAGCAAAAAACTCAACAACGAGCAGTAGATCCAAAGCAGTCAACTAATATACCATATAAAGACAAGAACCACCCACAACTTTTTTCCGGACAAACCTTGTAAGGAAACAGAATACACCACAGAAACAGGGGAGGAACGAGAACAAGTCCGCCGGCACAAAAAGGTGAGACGGGTAAAAAAAAAAACCCATTTTTAAAGAGAACCCATAATCACCGGAATCCATCAATCACACCGGACACGAAAACAGTGAAGTAATAAGAAAAAAAGATCAAATTCAAAACACACAGAAGAAACACAACAAGAGAAAGATCCATTTCTCCAGGAGAAGATCAGCAACAAAAAGATTACCTGAGAAAGGGTATAAGGGCAGAGAGGGGATCCAGTAACCAAAGCAGTCGGGGCTAGAGAAAGGAAGTATATTAGAATAATACTTCAATCTCTGAAAAAGGGGCAAAGGGGAGAGGGAAGGTGAAGAAAACCCTAGAAGGGTAAACAGAAGAAATCTCTCTCTCTCTCTAGTTCGTCTCTCTCTGCTGCTCTGGTGTTCGAAAATGGGATGTGAACAAACGAAGAAAATAAAAATAAAAATCACAACATATATAGTGAGTAAAGGGACAAGGCCAGAAATGAAATGAAAGAAGAAAGGAGAAAGACGCTACAGTTGAGATAGAAAAGAAGAGAAGGGGAACGGGATAGGCAAAGCCAAAGCGTGGGGTGGGTGGGTGCGTATTATTAAGAAAACGTGACATCAGGCCGATAAAAAGCGCAAAGGAGAGAAAGACAAAGCGAAAAGGCAGAAAAGGGTAACTTTTGTGGGCTCCATCATCATACCCGACCTGGCACCTTTTCTCTACCTTCATTTCCTGTTATATTTAAATCCTCTAATTCAATTAGAAGCACCATTAGAAATAGTTAAAATAGAACCTGATCAATCATTAATACATTAAAATCAAAGAAGGATAAATGTAATCATAAGAAATTAAACATATTGCAGTAATTGAAAAAATATTAAAAGCGAAAAGAGACGGAAAGTAACCAAGTAATAAATATAAACTATAAAAGCTACAAAATTCAGTAATAAAATATAGAAAAGAAAATATGATTATAGGAAGAGAATTAGAATTACTAAATTTAACTAATATGAAACATCTACAATATAATATTAGAGAATTAAAAAAAATATTTAACATGGAAAATTAAGCATCATCATGATGTAAGAGAACTAAATATAACATTTTCAGGTTATTTATGTCGAGATAGAATTCATAAGATATATTTGTTTTAGGAAATTATTGAATTATAAGAACACATAATGGTAATTGAAAATAGTTATTATGATAATTTATTCTAAATTTTCTATTCAAAATTGATTTGGTATTAAGCATTCAAAATAAGATTTCAATTAAACAATAAAAAAATATGTTTTTCATAAGTCCAAATATTTTTTTTAAATAAGAAAAGTAGAAGGACCAATTATAAATTTATAAAACGGAATATTTCAAGAATATTCTGTCAACTTTAATGCAATGCACTTAGCAGTAAACTTAAGTGGTATCAGATGCATATGTAATAGAGTTCAGTGGTACATAATACCCTATTCTTAGTTAAGTGGTATAACTCCCCAATTCTCATACTTTAGTGGTACCGGAAGTATTTTACCTCGATAAGTATAGAATCTATAGATAGACTAATGAATGTTTATATCATTTTCACCTCACGTTATTACTAGACAAGTTTTGGGATGTAATAAGGAATTGTTAATCATCATGTAAACTACAATCATTTCCAGCTTTTTTGGAGTGTAAGATGGAAGTGTTTCGTGGTTGATTTGATCGATGCACCTTTGACTTCTAAAAATAAGGACGATCGTTATTCGATTTTTATCTCTCCGGATAATGTTTGAACGAGGGTGTTTGAGTGTTTTTGAGAATGTACGTTACGACTACTTATATGTAGATTCCGGTGAAGAGCTCCGCGACTACCCTGCGACTCCGACTAACTAATTCCATGGAAAAAATAATCACTAAAAGATATCTCAAATTCAATAAAATATAATTATTTCCTAGAACCAAATGAAACATACTTTTTCACTCCTTGAAAACTCTGCATCTAGCATTGGGTAGACCTCATACAATAACTGTCCTAGCACTACCATATCTTTTATTGAATTTCTTTTGGAACAATCACAAACACTTTTTTGATTATGGATCCACTACCGGAAATTCAATGCGTAAGCTTAGTATTCAATGTGTATTCCTGAACAATTTCATTTTTCAATTATTCAACCATTTCCTTTTACCAAGTTCAGATACCGTCATTGCTCTTCTCTGGGAAAAGAAATTCACGACCCGTAGGCCTTCTACCTCCACGCGGCATTGCTCCGTCAGGCTTTCGCCCATTGCGGAAAATTCCCCACTGCTGCCTCCCGTAGGCTCGCCTGTAAATTTATCTAAGAGTGTCCATTTTCATGAACTAAAATAAAATAATAACAAAAAGTTAAAAAAAAACAAGAAAATATTCGACTAATACCAATAGCAACAAAATACAACACATATTTTTGTATTTAGAAGAATAGTAATACATACAATATTTCGGTAAATCTATTTCAAAATTATAAAAATAGATGAATTGTAGTCTAATTGAAAACAAGCTATAAATTACCACTTTTTTTCGATTTTCCCAAACTCAAATTACTGTCAGAAGATTAATAATCTTTGATGCTACAGCCTACAAGAACCCTAATTCAATACCATATTACTTGATTGTTTGAATTTCAATACAAAACAGTGTCTATACTATATATATATACACAATTTGACGCTACTAAAACTTGCCTTTCTGATTTCCCAAGGAAAAAAAGGAAATGCTTGAAAAAAGACGTAACCAATAATTCTCTCGAGTCAAACAACAATTGTTTAAACAACAAGAAATTGCTATAATAGTTGAAAATCCCATATTCTAGAGTTCGAATCCTTTTTTTCCACTATTTTTTCCTAAGATTTCTAATTTTATGGTCTACCAAACTAAACCTTATTATCATTTAAGTTAGCCCCAAAACAAGAAAGAGCAAAGTTAGGTCATTTCTTACTTCGTACCGTCGGCCAACATTTCAACGTGGCACCCTGCTGCTGCATGTCCACTTTCTTCTCCAATCTCACTTCCACTCCTGCTCTTTCCAGCTAAGCCAATTTTATGAAGTCAGATGGGATCATGATAAAAAAAAAATCTGACTTAATACAGTTTTTAATTACATTGCCAACACCTAACAACAAGAAGCAAGCCTAGCTTCCGTGCATCAAAATCCAAGGCTCAAATACTTCATTATTTATGGATGTGCATTAAACTAAGAAAAAGTGCCTCATAATCAAAAAGACTACGGTGTATCTATGTGGCAGAAAGGGAGAAGGATTTACTCATACAAACCAATCAAGAGCACCCAGTTTTTTTTTAGTCACGGCGATTATTGGGAAAAAATTCAAAAGTACCACTGTTTAAAAAAAATCCAAAAATACCACCCAATCCCAAAAAATTCAAAAAATACCACCATTTTTCAAAAACCGCCACCCCACCCTGCGATTTACACGAAAACCGTTTGTCGGGGGCGCAGTTTTCTATGCAAACCGCGGGCCTAGGGGGCGGTTATTAAAAAAAAATTTGGACCAAACCACTGGGTGGGGTGGCGGTTTGACCTAAAACCGCCACCCCACCCAGCGGTTTGGTCCAAAATTGATTTTTTCCGATCAAACTCCTAACTTCGGTTTGACGAAATGCGAGACCCGGCGGTATGCGGCTTGCAAGATCTCAAAAAGTTTGCGGCCTCCATTTTTTGAATCCGAATAAATTTTTGAGATCTTGCAAGCCGCAAACCGCCGGGTCCCGCCTTCGTCTCGAAAAAAACGTCATTTGCCACCCCGAACGAGCCTTTTTTTTATTTCGTCAAACTTTGGGCGGCCATAACTTTGTGCTCCAAAATCCGAATGTCATGAATTTTTTTTTATTCCTCATAACTTTTCAAGATCTACAACTTTTAATATAATCATAATTTCAAAATGTACATGGATTTGTGAAAAGTAAAGGTAAAGTTATTCCCAAGGTCCCGTATATCCACAAATAGTTCCTGTTTTGAAAATTTCATCCTACTAAAAGTTGTAGATCTTGAAAAGTTATGCGAAATGAAAAAGAAATCGCTACGATCGGATACCCGAGTGCAAAGTTACGTTTGTTTGAAGTTTCGGTCGAAATAAGAAGTTGATCGAGAAAATTTTTTTTGGACCAAACCGTTGGGTGGGGTGGCGGTTTTGGGTCAAACCGCCACCCCACCCAGCGGTTTGGTCCAATTTTATTTTTTATAACCGCCCCCTAGGCCCGCGGTTTGCATAGAAAACCGCGCCCCCGACAAACGGTTTTCTTGTAAACCGCAGGGTGGGGTGACGGTTTTTAAAAAAGGGTGGTATTTTTGGAATTTTTTGGGATTGGGTGGTATTTTTGAATTTTTTTTAAACAGTGGTACTTTTGAATTTTTTCCCGATTATTGACTCCAAATTTCAAAATTTCAACTAAAGGCATAGAAGATGCATTCGATTTATCATCCCTTACCCTATCACTACGCCATTCCATTAGGGTTTTACCAAAGAGCATCGCATACACTTGAAAATTACAAAACACAACATTTGGAAATGTTAGTCCTCTCCCACTCAATTTTCTCCGCTTTCTATATTTTTCGAATGATTTTTTCAATATAACACACGGTCACATTGTTTGGCTATTTGGCACAAATATACTGTGTTTATAAGACAATTGGATTCGATGCCTCATCGGATTTCCTAACCCAGACAACTCATCAGTTGTCATACAATATATTGACAGAGCTTAAGAAATATTTTTCTCTCTTGATAATACAACACTAATCTTCTCAAAACGCCACACATATCTTAGCACTACTTTTATACTAATACGTACAATTATGAGATTGAGATCAAATCAGTAGTGTTGGTATGATCCCATCACAAAGTTAAAAGTACCCTCCACAAAATAAACATAGGTCAAAACACAATATATATGAAATCAAAGATACTCCCCAAGGCAAAAAGAGCACGACAAAGCCATCAAAGAAACCAAATCTTAGGAAGAGATATATTGCGAGATATTTTTGGCTGCCACCCCCTTTCTCTCTCTCTCTTCTACAAGATATTTTGGGGGTGGGTAAACTAAACTAAACAAAAGAGATATTTTGGTCGTTATAGTTGGCGACGTTCGCTTTTCCGAAGAGAGAAGAAAATAAACTGACTGCGGCTTTGGCGACCTTTCAAAGAAGTAAAGGACCAATGAAATGAAAGAAATTTGTTGTATGTATGTATTTATTTATTTATTTATTTATTGGTAGTATGCTGTTATTTTTATCCATTCCTTTGAAACAAGAAGAGACACACAAAACAAAACTCTTCTTCGTGTGGGTGAGGCAACCGGATCCATCCTGCTGCCGTAGCCGTATCTATCTTTCTCTTCCGAAAAGACTTTCTCGAAGGTAAAGCTTTTTTCTAGTGTTGTGAAAGCCAAGTCGAGCCGGCCGGCCGGACCGCCAAAACTGTTACTGGCCGAAAAACTGGCTCAACTCAGCTATTTAGCCGGACTGGTTCTTTGGGCGGTCGACAAGCGGCCGGAGCGGTTAACCACTCGAGCCGCTCGAGTCGTTCGCCCGGCTTTTTCCATTGGGCCGGTTGGCTTAATTAAATAAAAAACTAAAAAATGAAAGGGGAGGATCGGGCTTGGGCTGTCTGAAACAAAGTAACAAACCCTAATTCCAAAATTCAATTGTGCAGACTGAAAGAAGCCGCCGCTTCCTTTGCCTGTTCGCCAGTCCAAATCTCCGCCCTTGTCGTCGTTCTCCATCGCCGGAAGCCAGTCCCCCGTCGCCATCGTCGTCGTTCCCCGTAGGTCGCTCGTCGATTTGGGGAAGCCATCCCTTCGTCCCCCGTCGCCATCGCGAGTCGCCTGTCGCCAGCGACGAAACTGCTGCTCCTCCCCTGCACCCACCACTGCTGCCCTCCTCTGCACCGGTCACTGCCGCACTCCCCTGCACCGTCCCCTTCTCCCACTAGGTAAGTGCTGCTGCCGTGAGTTATTTAGTGATTTAGATTGAGTTATTTAGAAGTAGAAAATGTTAGAGGTTTTGAGTCAAAGTGATGAATGGTCTAATGGCGGTGGTGGAGGGGCAAAGGCATGTGATGGGGCGTTCATTCATTATCATTAAGAACTTTCAGGATGGTAGTGTTAGATTTATAATTGTATATTTGTAAGACTTAAAGTGTAATTTACTAATTTAATTATGATTTACCATTATTAAGAAAGGTCCACTATTTATATTTTATACGGATTGTTTATTAGATACCGATTCTCTAACGGTTTTTAAACGGTCTAATGCCAGTTGGACAGCTAATTACCGAGCCATTCACATTATCGAGTCGTACTCTAGTTCGCTTCTGACAACATTGCTTTTTCCCTATATATGCTTGTAATTGAAACAATCTCCTCCAACAAAATAATCAAAGGCCGGTGGGCGGTGGCTACATCACCAGACGCTTATTAAATGTGTGCTGCTGCCCTGTATTCTACACCAACTAGACTTCATTCCCCCCCACTCAATTGACGTATCACACTTTTGAACTTAAC